GAGCACAATTCTGACTGCACATTAGAATCACTAAGAGAACTGAAAAAGAAGTAAAAAATAGAACACCCGGCCCTCACCCAGTGAGGCCCCAAGAAAGTTATTTTTTAAAGTTCCTAGGTAGGGGCTGGGGATTTAGCTCAGTAGTGCCACTGCCTGCCTTGCAAGCAGAAGGTCCTGAGTGGAATCCCTGGTACAAAAAAAAAAAAAAAAGTTCCCAGTCGGGTAAAAAAAAAAAAAAAAAAGTTTCCAGGTATTTATTTGGTGTGGGTAGAGATTCATCAGCGCCAATAGGCAGAGCAGATACAGTGCCTGGGACAAGGCCAATTGACTTGTTTTAAAGTCACGGGATGGCAGGGGGCCCTTTTAGATGGAAGAAAATGTATTCATAATGGGAGCATATTTTCTTCATACCAATATATTAATAAGGCATAGTGGCTTTATGGAAGAAAGGAACCATAGGGCGAAAATGCCCATGGCCTATAAAAATCACGGTATCACCCTGCATTCGGGCAGCAGGTGTGAAGGTGCACATTTGAAAATCAGTGAAAGTTATATCTCTGTTCTCATTGAGATAACACGGAATGTGGCACAGACATCTGCATTTTATGTTGGCTATAACGACGCCAATGCCAGAGACACCCTCCCCTCCCCCCCTGCTTCCATGAGCGCTTGGTGGATTGTGTGTGTGTTGCCCGTGACAGCTTTAGAGGTGCGAGTGTCTTGTCTGGTAGCAGACACCCAGTGCCTGGCTGCTGTTTCATTCAGGTCTTCAGACCCTGGTCCCCCAGGCTTCAGAGACAGTCCGTGGAAGGTCAAAGAAGCACTGGCCCTGAGCGGGAGGCCTGGGGTGCGTCTGGTCTCTGCTGGGCTCTGCTGACTTCACTCCTTGCTCAGCCCCCGCCCCCCGCAGCAGGCAAAGCTTCCTAAGGCTGAGTTGCAAACATGGCTGCCACCATTGTGTCTTCCTTTAAACGCATATCCATCCGTGTCTTGGGTCATTTTCATCTCATTGGCACAAACTCCAGAATTTTCATGGGCATGTGGTGGGCTATGGAACGTGGCTGTCCATTTCCAGGCCTTCAAATTTCATGGAAGTTCTCTTTCTCTCTTAAGGACCTGAACTCTATTTCTTTGTTGCTTAAAACTTTTTGCCTAATAAATTCCTTTATGCCTCTTACAGTCGAGTCTTGAAAATTCCTCTTCTGTGATGGGAGTCAGTGGTCTGCAACCTGCCCTGGGGGTGGAGTGAGTCAAGGTTTCCCATCTATGCTTTGGGGACTGACCTCCTTAGACCCTGTCCTGTGACATTTCACTTCCTCCAGTGGAGGAGATGAAGAAGTCCGGGGACTACAGCTTTGATTACTAAAGGATGATGGTTCATCAAACACCAAAACCTATCTTTTGTCTCCCTTAGATCAGTCAGGGTGAGACTTTTGATCCCTGGTTGGACAGGATCAACACCCCTTCTTAGCCTGAAGGAGTCATAAGAAGACAGACCTTTAGATCCTCTGCTTCCATTAAGAATGAGGGATCAAACTCTCAGGGGGAGAAATGAGGCAGAGAGAAGAAATAAAGAAGGTAGGAAGGAGACAAGGAAAAATCATAATTTATAAATTGTGCTTTGAAGAAGACTATGACTTCAGGATACAAAGACACCCAAAGTGATCTATATCTTTATTCCCTAGGCTTGATCAGGCCCATCACAAAATCCCTTAAAGGTACTATAAGCCCATAAATTAGTTGATAAGGTAAAGAGCAGACACCTGATATTAAGTGAAAGGAACAGACTGAAAGAGTTCAAAAAATGTCTTTAAGCACCCCTCTTTAAAAAAAAAACAGGGCCCTGCCTTTTTCCTTAAAAATGGGCCAATATCTTCCTGTGGGTTGACCATTCTTTTTCCAAGACACAACTTCCTGCAGATTCACAAATACCACAGCTTTCCACCACCAAAAACACATAAATATTTCCAGCTCCAAAGAGTAATGTGCCTCTTCCTCTGAAGGATCTGCACTCTATTTCTTTTGAGTGTGTACTTTGAAAATTCTGCCCAGTAAGTCCTTTTAATCCTCTTTTCAAAAATGAATTCCATGGAAGTGAACCAGGAGCTGCATGAGTCGGAGGTGTCCCACCCACAGTGGCAGGTCAGATGGTACTCAGTTTTGGGGCCCTGGGCAGTGGTGGGGTGCTGGGGAGGTCACTCCATGTGCGGGTTGTGGGAGGAAAGCACACAGAGGGAGAGAGTCACACAAATCACAGGGACTCCTGTGGCTGCCTGAGGTTCTGAGAGCCCCTCAGCCCCAGCAGGGAGCTGTAGAGGAGAAAGTTACTTTTGATTTCAAATGAGGAGAGAGAGGTCCTGTGATTCTCCAGCAAAGCTCTGATTCTGACAGGCCTGGGTCTCCATCTTTCCTCCTCCGCTTACAGGTGATGTGATCTTAGGAAAATCATGTCACTTTTCTGAGCTTCAACTTCCTCATCTGCAAAATGAGGCTAAGAGCTTCCACCTGGTGGGCTGAGGCTGGGCCTTCATGAGAAAGCTCTTACCTACCATGCACACCCTCACTTCTACTCCCCTTACCACAAAACACCTCCTGGGGTTCTTCTCAAATCATACACTGACGGCGAAGTTCCTCGCATCGTCTGAGATGTGGTAGGTTCCTCCTGTGATCACTACGAGGGCCAGGAACCCACAGGCCGGGCATCACTGGTGTCGAGCAGACTGACTCACAGATCCGTTGGAAGGGCAGAGGTTGCTGCGGTGCCCAGAGAGCTGGCAGGAAATCTCACCTCTTCAGATGTGGGGCAGGCGGTGTCCTACTGGAGCCGCTCCTCTGTGCCAGCATGGGGTGGGAGGTCAGGGGTGGGCAGTGCAGGGAGAGCCCTGTTTCACTAGTGCACCCCAATCCTGGCCTCTCCTCCTCCCTGTCTCCTCCTCCTGCTCCCTCCCTCCTGCTTCCGGGTCACCTGGGAGATGTAGCACCTGCTTCTGGGCAACCCAGTTTAAGGCGCCTCTTTCTCACAGCTCCAACCCAAATACCTCTTCAGGGCCTTTGCCAGGCCCCTGGGGCTCCTCAAGCACAACTTCTCCACCTCCACCGCACAAACCATTCACCGTTTTCACCCTTTGTGTTGGCGCGGTGCCATGTTCCGCTCTCCAAACTCAGGTCTTAACCGTGTGCGCCCCGCAAGCGTCTCGGGACGCGGCCTTCCTGCGTCCGGGTCACGGTCCACTCCACTCCTCCCGGTTTCCTGAGGTGCGTTTCACAGTCACAGAATCCGGAGGAGGAAAGGTGGCTTCTCCCTGTTCTTCCTCCTAAAAATCCCTCTTCTGGCAAATCGTTACCATTGACGCGCGCTGTTTTCTGGGTTCAGCGACAGCAGTTACTGGGGCAAGACTCACACTGAAATAAAACTGAACCAATAGATGCTTCTTAAAATTTCAAAGCTTTGCCTGGAAATGCTTGCTTTAAGCTGAGACTGCTGCCAGCGGCAACATCAGAAGCGATTGTTCCGATAAACAGGTCTCTACCTGTCTCCTCGCTGCTCCTTTTATTTATGTATTCATTTATTAATGTATTTTATTAGTACATGCTTGTAATTCATGCGTCTTACAACCATCTTGGGGAATGGTTACATGTTATCAACACAATGTCTGTTTGGAAAGAGAGGGGATCAGTTGCCGATTGCACGCTTTTCCCACGGTTTGCAAATATTTGCTAAGTTTACATTTTCTTTTCTTTTCCTTTTTTTTGGTACCGGGGATCGAACTCGGGATCTTGTGCTTGCATGGCAGGTGGCGGAACCACTGAGCTAAATCCCCAGCCCTAAGTTTACATTTTCCACAGGCCCCAGTGGTCGAACGCTGGGCTTCGCGGCTGCCCTGGTCCCTCCGGACGCCCCCATGCTGCCCCGCCCTGCTGGGCTGATGCCTTCCTCTTTCTAGCTCTCCGGGGGGGGGCCCTTGCCCTCCTTTCCCAGCACCTGACTACACCCCACTGGGTCCTCACCTCCACCCAGGGTCCCCCACTTGAAGAGTCCACCCGTGCTCTTAAACGTGCGGCCTCTTGCCCCTCAGCCCTGCAGCCGCTTCTGCAGGCCGTCCGGCCCTGGCCATTTCCAGGCCCTCCCAGGGTCCCGCGCTGTCACAGTGCGCGCTGGTGCAGGGTCCCGGGGCTGACGCAGCGCGCACATGGTTAAGCCGAGCCTCTCACTGAGGTGTTTGATCCTTTGGCCCATCCTGCCAGACCCATTTTAGGGTGGCTCATCCCACCCTCAGCCCTGCTTGTGGCTTCCAGAAGGCTCTGGGACCGCGGCCACCTCCTCTGGGCTCTGAAGTGGCATTTCACCCCTTGAGGTCCTTCTGCGCTGCCATCGGAACTGAGCTTTTGGTACCGGTTCCATTCCCTGGCGGGCGGGGAACCCCATCGCCAGGTGGTGCAGACGCCCTCTCCTCCCCACGCAGTGGAGGAAACTGAGGCTCAGGGACGGTGGCCTTTCTGCTCAGGTAGACTCTAATCCTGGCCCTGCCACCACCAGCCCGAGACCTTGGCCAGGCCACCGCTGGCACCGGGGTCCGGTGGCCTCCAGGGCTCAGACCTAGTAGGTGCACAGCTAGCGCGGGCGGGCGGCCCAGGGCCCGGGAGG